AGCAGCAGCAGGAGCAGGAGTAGGAGTAGTAGTAGTAGTAGTAGTAGTAGTAGTAGTAGTAGAAGTAGAAGTAGAAGTAGAAGTAGAAGTAGAAGTATAGAAGTAGAAGTAGAAGTAGAAGTAGAAGTGGAAGTGGAAGTGGAAGTGGAAGTGGAAGTGGTGGTGGTGGTGGTGGTGGTGGTGGTGGTGGTGGTGGTGTAATACTTGTAGTTGTTGCTGCTGCTGTTGCTGTTGTTGTGGCTGTAGAGCGGTAGCAGTCATCGTTTGTGTCGTCGTTCACGTGGTGGTGCGTGTCCTCAAAGTCGTATTGAACTTGAATGGCTTCAGGAGACCTGCTCGAGAGAGAGGTTCTGCCCACCGGCATCATGCTAGGCAGGGGACGTCGCAACATCCACCGACAGGGATGTGGGGTGCACAACGCAGCTGGCGCTTGCATTAATGCAGTCTCTATAGGGGTGCCGCTCACCTGAACACGTCGAACGCCACCTGCAGAACCTCCCAAGTCGGTGATTAGAGCCCAATGTCGGTGGAGCAGGCTCGCTGCTGCAGCCGATTCGTCAGCTGCTAGATTGCAGTCAGCACCAAGAAGCACAGCGGCTCAGCGATCAGTTAGCCTTCGCAAGCTACAGTGCCGCAGGTCTCTCGGTTCTGAAGAAGCTGTCAAGGCATGGCGGACAAAGCGACCTGCTGCATCATGCTCAGACTGCTCAGACGGGATTCTTGGAAGGTCTTGGCCGGCGTGCGGAGCCTTTGGCTAAGTCAGAGCGAACAGCAGGAGGTGGAGGTGGTTGACAGCCGCGACAAGGACGTGGGCCAATCTCCCCGACCTTGCATGAAAACGCACGATGTCGAAGCCGCCGCATCACCTCAGCGGCACCACGTATCTTTGAGAGCTGCTCACAGAACATCAGGCCCCCCCAGGCTGAGCCCGAGAACCTTCGTCTCTTGCTCGTCGTGAGGACTGGCTCGGCGCTTGGCCTGGTATCTGTGCTGTGGCGAAGCCAGGAGGACTGAGAATCTCTGTGGAATCTGGGGCGGGTGGGGAGTGGTGCGGGGAATGGTTTAACAAAGCTCCTGCCGGGCCTGGATCGTGCATTCATGTCGGTGTCGCATCGAGGGGCGCTTTCTCAAATGCCAGAACTCCTTGAGCACGGACGCTTGCAAACATGTTGCGATAGCTCAGAAACCTTTGATTCCTACCACTCCTACAAGCACGGTGACGGCAGGTGTGTCAACTGAAGACACCTTGGCACGATGGGCTTTACTGCTGGCGATGCCGTCTCGCGTCCGAAGTTATTCGAACCTGCCTGAGCTCGCGAAGTCGTAAGAGCTCGATGGACGTTGATGAGCGACTGGTAAATTGCTAGATTGAAGCCTGCATGAAAGAAACTCCCCCCCCGCCCCACACAACCATAGTCCACTGAAGCGGACGCGAGAGGGTTGCAATTCTCTCATGTGTTCGAGGCTTGGAACGGTTTCCCGGCTTGACCTGCCCACATCGGGCGTGACTCGGACTGCAATCAAAGTGCGCCTACGACAGAAATCGTGAGTACGCGACACCAGTTTGGCTCTTCAAGCTGATGAGGGGTTTTTGTGCACTCTGACGTGACCGTAGTGTTTGTCGTGGCAATGCTCGCGCATCTCCGTACATTGACATAGCTTCTAACATGCATCGGCCCTTGCTCTGGCGACCTCAAGACCGGGCGGCTTTGATTTGAGCAAGACCTTTGCAAAGGTTACCTCGTGGACTGTTGAGAAGGTGCTCCTAATTAACTTGGAACGCCAAGCCTCCGGACATACGAGGTAAACAGAAGACCAAGAAGATCATGACTCTTTTGAAAATCATAACGGCGTTGGTGATGTTGATGATGATGCTGATGAGCACCGTGATAGTCACCATTAATTATTCCAACATGAACATGACAACAACTGTAGTGATGCGTACAATAATGCTACTGGTTCTGACTGTGATGTTTTCGTTATCGTAAGTATTGCCCTCTCCCTGCTTCGCCCCACCATTATGCTTACTACGGCGGTGCTGGTAGTGGGGATGGTGGTGATGCTGGTGGTGATGATGATGGTCATGGTGGCTGGTGACTGGTGGTGATTATGGCGGGGATGCCATGGCATTGGGCGGTTGATGTTCCGAACGATGATCTGCTGGTGGCTGTGCCACGACAACGACACGACGACCACGATAAGCATATGGCTACGATCTCCGGCTGAGGTTCTTCCCTTTGCGCTCGGTGGTGATGATTCGCCCGCAGCATGCATTGCAAATATGTTTCATTGGAGGTTGGTTTTACAGTTCAGTTTGAATTCTTCTTTAGTGGCTGCTCTCGCTCTCTGTCTCTCTCTCTCTCTCTCTCTCCGTGTTGCTTTTCATATGGTGTGCGTTGCCCATTGGTCTTGCATCCGAGCACTGGGCGACGTCTGGCATGTGCATGTGCAGCTTTCCAGCTGGTGTTCTAGCTTGTCTCTGGCAGGCAGCGCACTGGCTCCGTGCCCAATTCTCTGCAAGGCTTGTGAAGAAGGACCTGCATTGAATTTACTCTTGCATTCGGTCGTTTGGGGGGATTAGAGGTGGGGGATTATTGTACGGCTATTGCGGTTACTACCGAGTCACTAGGGAGCTGTTCGCGCATGCCTCCAGGCCCAACGTCTGGGGGAATAAAGTGTAATTGCAGAATCTAGCTCACAGGCTGCGAAGCTATAACCCGAGTAAGACGAAGAGCTCGGCGTCAGGGAGCCGGAATTCTAAGGAGCTATGGAGCCAGCAATCCCAGGAGTATTGGTGCCTTTGCAGTGGCAAGGCCAACGAGACCGGTGTCGTGACCAGCCCGCTTCGGGCGTCCCGACCGGGCTCAGGGCCGGGTTAACAGGGCCTTGGGGACTTGGGGTCTCATTGTCCTAGCCTAAACGGTTTCTGTGAAGAACATAGGCAGCCCGGAAAGACCAATTCAAGGTGGTCCGCAGTGAGGGTTCCGTCTATGCCGAGCCCTCTTCGCTGGGCCGTGCCGCCCGCACAGAGACTCTTGGCTGCAGCGACCCTGATCCCAGGCGGGGGTTCGAAGATTTGATTTCCCAAGGGTTTCGACATGGACAGTGGCTCGCTTTTCTCTGACAGGAATCGGGCGCAGGGAGCTGTTTCAAGCTGTCGTGTGCCAAGCCTGCGAGGTATCGAGTTCTGTCCTCCTTCCAAGCTGCGACGTGTGGTCCTCGATTTGTCGCTTTTTTTCTCGAAGTTGGTGGAAGTAGTTCTAGGTAGTCTCCACAGACAGCACGGAAACTTCAACCTCTTCACACTTTTAGCGCTTCCTCAAGGCCCAAGCCGCTTCACGGGGAAGATTGCTGTGGGCAGCAAGACGGCCTGTGCCAGCTGTTACACGCTTGCTTGTCGAGCCCCCAGGCTGTTTAGTGCCTCGGCGCCGTTCTCGCTGCTGGAGGCAAGACTGATAGGGAGGGCGATCAGCTTGGCGTGCAGGGATTTGCCGTCGGAGATGGCTTGTCAATTTAGATTTGTCTGGTCCCTCTCTAAGCCCGACACCCTGCGATGTTATGTCATGATGAGCCAGCGAAAGCCACCCGAGCACTGGCAAAGCTCAGAATTGCAGGCTCGGCCGCTGACTGGCCGCACCCACCAGAAGCTCAGATCCTGTTTGGAAACGGTGTGCTGTGTCAGTCCTCGTTTTTGAGCCCTCAAACATTCAGAGCCGGAACATCTCTGAGCCCTGAACTCTGGCCAAGGATCCGCGTGCACATGGCAAGCATAGGGCTCCCCATTCTCGGAGACGAGGCTTATGGACAGCAGCCCGGCACGAAGATGCCCCAGGGTGCTTTTCCTGGCTCGTGTCCTCAAAGCCCCTGCTGGAGGCCTGAACTGAACACCTTGTGCCCGCGGCTCTTCCTGCATTGTCGGCGCCTGTGTCTCCTGGCGCTGGATGGCCAGGTACCCCTTGTGGTCGTGTGGAGTGTTAAGATGACATGCTGTTAGACTCATAACATGCTGGGGATCGCTTCTGCATGTTTCATCCGATGAGTCTTTCCCATTTGCACATTTCCTGCTGTGCTCAATGCTGGAGCAGGAGCTGTGTTTGGAAGCCCCGCTGCCAGCAGACCTACGTGGTGTGCTGACTAGCCTGGAGACAGAGCTGGACAGTGGAAAAAATCGTAACTTGTTTGGATGGCTTTGCCGGGCCGCCATCGACGGCAAGCTCTCACCTCTCGCATCTGCCCCGCAACGCTTCTTTCGGACCTTAGACCTTTTCCCGGCTCTAGGCTCCTACTGCTGAGAGTCCTGCTCACTCCAGGTTTTCGCCAGTCGGCGAGGGCTTCCGCGCACGCTGCCGGCAGCGATGGCCTCAGACTGCTGGCAGATGTCAAAGGATGAGGGCGGCCCCGGAACACATGGAGGAGACACGTTAAAGCTTTCTCGAATTCGGAGCAACAGAGCTTGTACGTGCTAGAACTCAAGTTCCAGAGTTTTGATTCAACGGCGCTTGCACAGGTTACAGCAACTTTCTTTCGGATCCTTTTGGTGGCCCCCGTGGCTTGGGGAATGCTTTGGAAGCCAGACACACTCCTCGAAGTTCCAGGTTCCCTTCGCTGATCAACTGCGCCACTGTTGACTGGTACGATCCGTGGCCCGAGGACCGGAAGTCACTTGATATTTTTACGTTGCCGAGACAGATGTCTCTCCCTAGCCTGGCAGGACGCACTGGTTTCTGTCGCAGAGAGGCCTGGCACCTGGCGGATCTGGCGGTTCGACCTGTCGGCTACACTTACCTGGCTTCGCGGACCGATATGTCTACTTCTAAGTCTTTGTACATTCATGCATGGGCGATTTGACAGTTCCTGTGTCAACCCGGAGCAGACCTGCTGAAAGTGAATCGGGCAGACGAATCCGGAAGACGAAGATGGAGCGTTGGGTTTTGGGGTTGGGGCAGGTACTACCTCCAGGCTCCCAAAGAGCTAGAACTGGATGCCAGCATCGCTGCGTTGTCGAAGATCTCTTGTGCCCCTCGGCCTCGGCGAGATTGGCGTGTTTTCCTCGGAAAATTTTGGGATCTTCCTGGACCATAGCGTAGTTTGGGCTCATAAGGCTGCGGGGGATTCTTCACCGGACCGCCTTCAACACAACTGGCCCAACGAAGACAGACGCGAACGCCCGGATTCTCAGTGAGAAGTCTCATGGTCTCGTCCGTAACCAAACGCTTCCCTACACGGCCCCCAAGCAGATCCGAAGACTGTCACCCGCAGAAGCCTTGCCGCCGCTTGAAACTCGTGCCGTTTCCAGGTTATCCACGCCTCGGCATCCGAGGTTGGAGCATTCGCAGAGAAGTTTTGTTTCCGATGCCGGAGGAAAGACACAGCATGTGGCCTCCGCGTGCCTGCTTGAACTGTCGTGAACTATTCCAACGAGAACTTGTCAGGGGTGAAAGTCTCAAGCAAAGATTGCTGCAGCACGACTTGTCTTGCGAAGCTACGGAGCTTGTTAGCTCGTCCAGAAAATCATTGCATGTCCGAAGCTGCGATAGGTTCATCTTGGGGGTCAGAAGATGTGGGACAGTGTGCAAAGAGTTACTGGGTGCTGGGTGCTGTGTTCCGTACCTTGGAGCTTCCGTGTCTTTTGGCTCATGAAGCCAAGAATTCAAGACATTCCATTGGAGGATGCCAACCATACCACCCCTCGGAGCTTGTCGACTGCATTCGAGAGCGAAGCAAAAGCGATACAGACGACAAATTATGGTGAACTGCTCCCTTTGCCTTTGCCCCTCCACCGGAAACGGTTTCGTCCCCTCTCTGCAAGAATCCCCAGCAGAAAACGAAGTTGTGGAGCGAGAGCCTTTCGTGCACAGAGTGCTTGTCACGAAGAACCTCAAACTAAGAAGATCGTCGAATGACAAGCAGGCATTGGCAAGCGCTTGCAAAAATCACCACTTCACGGACATGTGTCTTGCACATTCTTTGTTTTGCCCCAGTGCCCCTCTGTATCTACCTGGGCCTAGCGTGGCCGTGCAGATTGGCCTCCGCATTACTTGACCTACAAGGAGTCCTTTCTGCTCAGCAGCAGAAGGGTTTTGTTGTTCGGCCCCAAGCGCCGGCTGCCGGAAGCAGAGCAAGCGAAGGGGTGGCAACGGGAAGGTTGTTGGGCGGGAGCCGGATGAGGCTGGAGAGAATAAGAAGTGCGTCATGACGCATGATTCACAGGGCTTGCCAGCTGCAAACCCGCTCTCAAAGCCGAAGAAGAGCCAGAAATCAAGAGGCAGACAGAATGGATCTGGAGGCTGATGGTTGCGATTTCTGGTCGTCGCTGTTTTTGTCATCTGTATTCACTCTATATGGCCGCAGACATTATAAGATTGCCAGAACTCTTTCTAGCTCAAGACCCCATCCTTGCGGTGTTTGCACTATCTGCAGAGCACCCGGCCTGTCCCGGAGCATTTCGAAGGCTTACCGAGGTGCGAGGTGAGCCCTTTTTCATCCTTTTTTCTGTCGAGGCAGCCGAGAGATTCTTCGATGAACTCCGCCGGAAGACGTGCGCTGTGGCAACAGAGTTGCTGCGACACTGCTGTGCAGGTAAAGGAATCGTGCCCGCTGGGCAGCGAGATCAAGAAGAAGACAAAGAAGAACAGCAGCAGCAACAACAACAACAACAGCAACAGCAACAGCAACAGCAGCAGCCCCAGGGACAGGGGCAGGGCAGGGGCAAGAGCAACAGCAACAGCAACAGCAACAGCAACAGCAACAGCAGCAGCAGCAGCAGCAGCAGCAGCAGCAGCAGCAGCATTAGCAGCAGCAGCATCGGCAGCAGCAACGGCAGCACCAACAGCAACAACACCAGCACCAGCACCAGTGGCAGTAGCAGAAGCAGCTGCAGCAGGAAACGCAGTAGCTGTAGCCGTCGTCGGCGTCGTCGTCGTAGGGGTTTGTGGAAGTAGTCGTCGTCGTCGTCGTAGTAATCGTGGCGGTG